TATAATGAACAAATTTACATATTTTATTATTTTTGTTTTACAGAGTTCCGGTATTGGAGAGGCAAGTGTGTACCATGCTCTGGTTGTAATATTTTTGGAATTTTTTGCATGGGGTTTATTAACCATGCCTGTTATCTCTGTATTAAATATCACATTTCCAAATCATACGTTCCTGATGAATGGTTTGATAATGGGCATTAAAGGAATCTTGTCATTTCTTTCGGCACCTTTGATTGGTGCTTTGTCTGATGTGTGGGGTCGAAAATTCTTTCTACTTATCACAGTAGCCTTCACATGTGCGCCGATTCCTCTAATGAGCATTAATACATGGTGGTTCTTTGCTATGATCTCCATCAGTGGTGTCTTTGCTTGCACATTTTCAGTGGTGTTTGCATATGTCGCTGATGTTACTGAAGAACATCAAAGGTCTCCAGCATATGGTATGGTAAGTACTTTACTATTAATTGTATTGGACAATTTTTTTATATAATTTGTAACATACTTTTTTTCATAAATGTATTATATTAGGTATCAGCAACTTTTGCTGCAAGTATGGTAATAAGTCCAGCATTAGGAGACTATATTATGAAAGTGTATGGAGAAAATCTTGTAGTTGCATTAGCAACTGCTATTGCAGTACTGGATGTGTTTTTTATATTAGTGGCTGTACCTGAAAGTTTGCCTGAAAAAGCTCGTCCACCAGCACCTATATCTTGGGAGCAGGCAGACCCCTTTGCTTATCTTGGAAAAGTAAGTAATTTGCAATATTCTATGTAAAGAAGTGTGTATGTACTTTAAATCAATCCAAATTAGTGACTGTGTAAAAGTAGATATGTTTTGATTATTAGAAGTTCTTGTCTTTCATTTTCAATAAAATATCTAAATTAATAATACACAGAAAATATGTGTGTAATTATGACATTTGATTATATGGCAAATGTAATTCTGGGATTTCAGGTTGGCAAAGATCACACTATCTTAATGTTGTGTATTACTGTGTTCCTGAGCTATCTTCCTGAAGCAGGACAGTATAGTTGTATATTTGTCTACTTGACTAAGGTTATGGGATTTACTGCTTTGATGGTAGCAATCTTTATTGCAGTTGTGGGAGTTTTAAGTGTCGGAGCTCAAAGTCTCTTAGGTCCTTTGATAAGGTCACTTGGCAGTAAACATACTATAATGTTAGGCCTTTTATTTGAGATGTTACAACTTATGTGGTTTGGCTTTGGTTCACAAACATGGTAATGTTTTTCTATTTATGTTTCCAAGTTTATAATATTTTAAGTAAGATTTAAGAAAAACATTTTACTTGTATTTTACTGCAATTTGATTTTATGAGATTTAGAGGTAATTTGTTTCTAAGAAAAAAGAATTTTATAAATTCTATTAAATATTTATGTATTTTTAAGGATGATGTGGGCAGCTGGAGTACTTGCTGCTGTGTCAAGTATTACATATCCTGCAATTTCTGCATTCATATCCATGCATTCTGATGCTGATAAGCAAGGTTTGGTACAAGGCATGGTAACTGGAATGCGTGGATTATGTAATGGTCTTGGGCCAGCAATGTTTGGAGTGATCTTTTATCTTTTTCGTGTTGATCTCAATGACAATTCTCCTTCCCTTCCTGCAAAACCATCTCCATTAGATGAAAATAATAAAACAGGAACTGCCACGCAACACCTTGATATTATGCCACAAGTAGTAACTCAGGTTAGTTTAATTATGAGAAAAATAAATTTGATAAATTTTTGTTAGTGTCTGATTATCAATGATATGATTATAATTGAATTGATATAAGTATTGCAAAGAAATTTATATTTTTAGCTTGTACCAGGACCACCATTTGTGTTTGGTGCATTACTTGTGATATGTGCATTACTAGTAGCTGCATTTATACCCGAATCAAACACAATACCAACAGGTCCATTACATCATCCATCCACCTCCCGGAGGCCCTCCGGTAAATACGCATATCAGAAATGTACGTTAAAGGCTGTCAGTTATGTTAAAATTCAGATGTATTTTTGGTGGTGGGTTTTATTTTAAATTAGTTTGGATAATAATAGCAGTTGGACAATAGTATAGTTGAATATAAAAATTACTATATTAGTATTATAAAACGAAAAGTATTACGATAATTTTCAGATAAGTAATCCCAAAATAGATTTGTGATTAATTCATTTTTTCTTTTTTTTTTTTTTAAAATAGATTTTTTTTCCTATAAAAGTGAATTCAAATACTGTTTTACATGAATTACATTTGAGTATATCTACAGTTAAATATGTATAATTGGAAAATTATCATTTTTGTTTGTAATCAGTCACGTAAGACTTCATATTACAAGGCACATAAAACACAAATTATCACTGACTCATTAAATACGACTAGCAAGAACCGATTTCACAAATGCTTAACCAGATAAAAATGTGATTACTTATTCGAAAATTATTGTCTATAGATATCATTGTAATTAAAATACATCTATATTTTATATAACACATATGTAATGTTCAAAATTGATTATATGTTGCATACACTGTACACATGTTTCCATATACATAGCTATGTTAAGTTTTGTTACAATTTAAGGTTTATCTTTGGATGTACATTATGAGGGTGACAAATTGGGAAGCGGGAAAGGAAAAATTGGACCGCTGTCACCTCTAGTCGACAATTGCAACTCTGCTGCTCTATAGCTATTGTGCAAATTAAGACAAACCACAGAAAAGAAGGGGGACATATACCCTTGTGACAAAACTCTATATTTAGAGAAACGGTTACTATCAAGTGCACCTATTACACAAGGACTTTAATAGAGCTGTCTATATTGTATTATATTATGTCTTTAAGTCAATAACTTGATCTTAGGACTATCAATCCAATTAGTGTTTAGGTTATGAGAAGTTTTTATGAGCAGTGCTTGTTTTGATGATATTTAGGTTGTGCTGAGCTTTAAGTTCGATCTTTTTAGGTATTTTGTTATATAAAATGCTAAAATTTCATTTTCTCCAAAAATAAGAAAAAAGAAAGGATTTTAATATCAACTTGTATCAAGTCAAGCACTGAATACCTTGATTCATTTATCAGTGACTCCTGGTTTGTGTAGCCTGCCAATGCATAATATGGTAAAACGAATGAAAGTTGTAACCAGTATTTTTACTAGACTTATAACGAAAGAAGCTATGTAACTTTTTATGTAAAATCCATTTTTTATCATGTGCATTATTTACTGCTTGTTAGAATCATAGAAGCAACAGTTTTCCTTTTTTGACTTAGACAAGAGCACCTGTTACTTTGATCACCTGTTTCATGGTTCTTCAGTTTAGGATATTTTCTATGGTATTTTTGTGAATTATCTTTAGCAAACAAAATCTTATTTATTTGCAAATGTATTTTGTTTTATTTTTCATGCATTCCTTTGTTCTAAGCATACCTTTAAATTAACAAAGAAAGAAGAGTGCAATAGTCATAAAAAGAATGAAAAGCCATTGTAAATGAAATTTTACATAGCTAACATAGAAAATAAGTTTTCAGTTGCATATAATACCTAGTAAGAATTAGTTGATATTTGTAAAGTATGTTAACTATTTCTTTCTTTGCATAAAATATTTATTTTAATAATTAGACATCAACAGAATAAATTCAATGGCCTTAATCAGAAAGAAAAAAAAAATTTATATAAAATTATACTGTGTCGTTTGAAGGCAATGATAGATTCTGGTCGAGAATATTATGAATATTATTAATATAATGCCTATGGGCATTCCACAAACGTTAAAATGTGCATGTTATAAATTGGAGTCATTGATGTCAACAAAATACAATAGTGTAGTGTATTTGTGCATTTTACTTGTACTTTATGAAAAAAATTAGTATTTGCAGAATTATATGTGCATTGCCATAGCCTACATAACTTTCTAAATTGAAATCTGCCAATATTATTTAGAATAAATTCTAACTTTGTATTAGAATCTCTGCACACTGCTACGATTGTTTTTTAAAAAAAATGTAAGATTTCTTTAAGATACTTGAAATGAACTTTGTTGTTCATAATTTTATATAGTTTCCACAAATGTATCGAAATCACTTGTTACAAGGTAATTAATGATAAAAGAGGATGCTCAAATCCCAAAAACCAAAGAACGACTAGTAGCAGAAATTCTATTCAAAAGTTGTAATATTAGAAAACAGTAGGAACTCATGAAATTATGGTGCAATGCGTGAGCAAGAAATAAAATTTTGTATGATCTCACTTTTCTCCAAGAATCCTATCTTTTAAATCAGGAAATATGTAAATAAGTCGGAATATATTGATTTCTTTTGTAAAGATTCAAAAGAAAGGATAATCAATTTATACGAAATTGTAATTTTGTCAATACTATTCCATTATTTGGAATCATTCTGATATTGAAAAAGTGCTGTGCATATCGAAGTTTAATATTCTTTTTATATCAATGATAGGATAAATTATAAAATAAAATTCCATTACATTTGCACAACATAAAGAAATAAGACAAAATTATTGTATCTATTTTAATGATATAAAAAATCTGATACAAATTGTGAAAATATACAATAAATTATTTTTGTCAGATTTCTTGGAGAATATAGATATACCATGCAATAATTTTATGTTTCTGCTTGATTTGAAGATTATTTATTAAACTTGCTCTTACACACTGGAGTACATTAACATTGTTGTAACATAACATTGTAAAAGAAACAGAAGAATCACAACATAAAAAAACAAAGTCCAGTTTAAGACTTAACACCTCAATAAAGTAAGTAATTGTATATGTACAATGTATGATGGATGCATTAATAAAAATAATTATTTTTAAAATATAAGGAAACGTGTCCTATAAATATATAAATATTTATACCTATTTAAAAAAAAAAAATTGAATCAAATATTCCTAATTAGATAATAACTAAATTATAATTTACAATATAATTGTTCAACAATACAATCTTGTTTATAAAATCACTATAATTTTTTAAACAGTTTGTGAAATAGTTGTTAATGTTGAACCACTCTGTTGCCAAGATTCAATTGCTTTGTTAACAATTACTTCAGAAGTTTCTTCAGTTAACTAGAAAAAAATATTTATTTAGAAACAATGTTCTTTGGTTTTCATACCTATATAAATAAATATTTTCATATAAATGTATATAAATATTTTCATACATTAGAAATAGTATCTAAAATACTATCTGTATTTTCACATCTCAATAAAAGTCTTCTCAAAGTTGTTAGGGTAACTACAGTGACAAAGATTAAAATTCTATATGCACCTACAGCTATTTTATCCCATATTCTGTAACAAATAGACAATATCAGTTTCATATAATTATATATTCTTTACTTTTTATTTTAAGTATACTAAATTATATACTTTGCTATAGAACCATTAGATATTGTTCCTGCAAAGCATGAACAAAACCAAATATCATATGGTATATTGTGAATTGCTTCAATTTTAACAAGATGTTTGTACAATTCTGGATCTTCTCTTTCCAACAAAGTACAAGTGCATTCTTGCAATCTACTGACTTCCTTGTGAAATTTTTGTACTTGATCTAAAAGGCCACATAATATCCAATAGGTGTCTACAAGCTTTTCTTCATATGAATCTATGTCAACAATATGCCATAATGTTTCCGCCATTCTGCTCATAGCTCTAAGGCAAATATAATTAAGTGCAATAACTTAATAAAGCATAATTAATAGTTATATTTAATGAAATAACAAAATAAAGCAAGACCTATGTAAGGGAGTTTCTAATTGAGTACTCATATCAAGTTTTGCTCTCCTAGTACGCAATAACCACATAGTAAGAAACATTAAATAAGGTTTTGTGTACTCATCCAAAATCTTTGTAACCTTTAAGGCTTTCTGTAGGTCACAAAATTCTGCTTTTCTTTGATTTATTATAAAATCATGACTCTCTATGTAAACTGGTATTACATCTAATAATACTTTCCAAAGAAAATTTCTATATATAGTAGGAACTGTGAACCGTAAGCAAAATTGTTTTAGTTTTGCTTTATCAAACGGACGTTCTTTAAGTAATATCTCCAAAGATCTTTTTTCTTCAACACTACGAAATCCTACCTATATTTTGATCATATAACTGATTAATGGCATGTTCTTATTAATTCGTTATTTATTATATATAAATGGATTATAAACTACATTTAGGTTATAAATTATTATAAATAATAGGAAATGAATTAATATAAATATTTTACATAAAAATCCATACCTTTTCGTAATAAGATGAACGAAAATTTCGTTCATCAGTCATTCTTAAATTAATAATTGTTAAAATTTGTATAGGCTTATTTTATATTTTAAAAATATTTTTTAAATCAATATAAGAATTCCTTAAAACATTCTCGTACGTCTTTATTGAACCTAAATGATAATGTTGGTTGGCAAGTTTATATCTTACTGTAATTCAGACTTGCTGCAATAATATTGTATTTGATGTTACCAACAATCGTAAATTTGTATTTTAAAGAATTTTTTATTTTCTAATATCGATAAATTTAATTTACATCAATTTGCTTTGAAATTTAATAAAAATTATCAAAATTAAAATAATCTACAATATTTATATTCAAATTTTACCATAAAATTTTTGCCATAAGTATTTAAACGTATATACAATTAATTTATAAACTAAAGGAGGTAAGAAATACGTAATAATATTTCACAGAAGAAACTGTAATTAATTCTGCCTTTATTATTATATCCAAGTGTTTTCATAAATTCATCTTTAAAAGTATATTTTACGTATGTTTTTTAATTATAAATTAAAAAGAAAAGAATTTTAATTATTTTGATTTACGTGCATATAAAAGTATTGTTATCGTATTATTTTTTGTATATTGTATTGAATTGTATAATATTTTAATAAATATAGAAATTGAGCAATTTACATTTTTATTTCATTAAATGCTCCGTTTCTTACTTACCAAATGAACCGTCATAATCAATTCTAGTACCAACTGTAATGAAAGTAAAAATAGTAACAATGCAAAAGTTTGATTTTGATATACTTAACCCAACTTATTCTATTAATAAGGATGCGATCAACTATACATATCTAATAAAAAATAATATATGTTATATTAGTATAATTTTTTACAAAGTGATACTAATTATAATCTCAAGTACAAGATTCCATGATTAAAATAAACCTCCCAACTCCTGATTCTCACATAAGCATTAATCTCGCATTAATCATTGCCATCATAATTAGTGCTAGATTCGGCTGTTATATAATTTAATACAATTTACTATATTTTGAATTATATATTCTGTATTATTTTCAGTGAATACGTAACAAGCCTTCGAATTGTATACAAATACTTAATGTTTATTGTTTATGACCAAATGACAACATAAATTTTATATAATTGTACAAAAACATGAACAAAAATAAAGATATTATTGTATGTGTACCAGGTATGCTTTCAGTTTAATAACAAAAAATTATACAGTTAAATAATGAAAATGAGATATCTTTTGTATAGGACAGAGGTTATGTATTTCCGACAAAATTAATATTGCTGGACCAGGTACTTACGAGCAACAAGGATATATTTTTTCAAAACTTGCTGGTGTAGTGAATTTAATACAAAAGGAAAATGTGAGCAAGGGATTAAAAATACTTTAAATAACACTGATTTAATAGGTAACATAGGTTAATTATACAGTATTTTGAATTTTAGACTCGTACTATAGAAGTTCATGGTATAACAGAGCAAAGTATTGTTCCTGCACCTGGTGATATTGTAACAGCTATGGTTATTATTGTTAATCAAAGATTTTGTAAATGTAGTATAAAATGTATTGGTGATATTGTGTTGACAAGACCTTATCGAGGTGTTTTAAAAAAAGAAGATGTACATGCAATTGATAAAGATAATGTTCAAATGTATAAATGCTTCAGACCTGGAGATATTATCCTTGCCAGAGTTGTATCCTTTATTTCAAGCATAAAAGAATATGTTATTATTGATAAAGGCATAAATTTTGAATAGTTTCCTTATATTAATTAGATGCCAATGACTGAAGCACATACTTATCATTTAAGTACAGCAGAGAATGAATTAGGTGTAGTGATAGCTCATAGTGAAGAAGGTAAGTAATTTAAGACAACCTTATTTTCTGTTTTCTATAATTCCTGTGTTATAGGTGTAGCCATGATACCCATTAATTGGACACAGATGCAATGTCCGAAAACATTGAGAAAAGAATTTAGGAAAGTTGCAAAAGTTGTTCCAGAACACATTGTTGTAGAATAATAATGTAATACTAATTATTTTTTATTGTATGTATTTATTTCATACAAAAATGTAACTTGTTTAGTATATTGTGAAATTTATATTTTTGTGCTGAATGTAAAGAGTCATTCAGCTCATTTATTTAAACAATGTGGTATATGTTAATATTTGTAAGCAATTGACAATATTTGTTATGGTAATTGTATTTTACAATAATTGAATTTTCCAAGCATTTTCATTTCTCTCTATTATAATTCATCAAATGTATCAACTGTGAAATATTAGTTATTAAAACTTGATTCTTAATTATAATAAAAATATTTTACAACAATATTCGAAAAAATAAAATTTTTTGATAATCTTCAAAAATTATAGTGAAAAATTCATGTAAATATTCATAACATTTAGCTCTATACAACTTTTTAAAGTCTCATGTTTAAAGAGTAATATTAATTGTCCAGATTATATCATGTGATTATATCCTTCTTCATTGCCTGTATACCTTGTCCACCATATTGTTTTTAACAAAGTAAACAAGTTTTGACTCTACTCTAATCAAATAATTGATAGGTTTTATATTATAGAAGGGAGCTTTAAATCATGTAACTCGCAGATCTGTTCACTAAAGAGGCCCCTCACATCATTTAGTCTTCCACTACTATGTACGAGATAGAAATAGACAAGAGACTAAAGCCACGTATTGTATTAAATTTTTATACGTATCTCTTGATGCTTTGGTTTAACATCTTATGGGCAGATACAAGTGAGAAGCATAGTGATAAAGTACTCTTGTCCCTCAATTTACATGGAGTATCCGTTTTGTTTGGGTTAGGTAGATTTATTTTACGCGAATGAAAATCGCGTAAATAAAGTCTGACAGTAATAAGGCGAAGCTAGCCGTTTGCATAGCATATCTTGATGGTTTGGCTTTTCTTCCACCTTTGCTATTGATCAACAACCGATGTACCTTGGTAGTTAATTGTGTATAAAACTTTTAACTAGATAACGTGATTCGGCCGTGTAAATTAAGATCGCATATAAAAATTATCGAGTAAATTGTGATATAATTTACCGTACAAAAAGGAGATTCGCGTAAAACAAGTGCTGTGTGAATTGAGGGAGAGTTGTAACATAAAGTGACTGATTTTAGAATAGACTACGAAGTAGACCACAGAAAAATAGTAGCGTATATGATTATTGTGATGGTATTGTCACTATGTTCGTTACGACATTTAATTAATATAATCAATCACGCATGTCATTTTGAATCTTTTATCCTACGATATGTTGAGGCTAGACAAATAAAAGACATGCGATTTATCGTTCGCAAATAACATCATAAAAATTCGACTGCTTTCCGTTCACTAATTCTCATAAGACGTATTGAAAATTACAAATAAAATGTACAAATTATTAATGTATTACTAACGTGTTTAAGTGTTTGCGAATCTAGATTTTTGCACACGTAGTACACGAGTGTAGTTTAAAGTAATAAAATCAGACATAAATAGCACAATAGTACGTATTAATGGATAGTGGGTAAAACAGGTAGGCAGCGTGCATAGATATTTTCGGCAAGTAGTAAAGTAAGGAGCGGAAGAATTGAATCGAATATAATTACAAAGCTTCTCCAATTTTGTTATAATTGTTAAAATCATGATTTTTAACAATACCCGCTTGTTCATTAAAAAAAAAACTACAAATGAATCATCCGTGGAACAATCTATAGACCGTGAACTACGCTAGTAAAACTACAATTTCCTTCTTTATATTAAATCGATAAGTTAAAAAGAGATGCTTTCCAGCGATGGGTAAAAGAATACGTGATGATGGCTAAAACTAAACAAATATTTATTCACTATCTTATTTTACGATTCAATGATAAGGTAGAAAATATTTTCTGAATTATCACTCGTCGATAATGTGGGTAAATGTATTTTTACTCTTCTAGTTTCTTTCTCGAATCATAACAATTCTGGGAATATTTTTCATACATTTTTACTAACTTATTATCAAGGAAAATTACAATATCTACATCTTTTGAAAGAAAACTTTGCATATTTCCTTTAATCAAGGAAACGACGATTTCCTTAAACTTTCCAAAATCACATCGTCAATCATTAATTTAATTTTTCTGAAGAAATCGATATCTACTGTTTGTATTCTATTTGTTTCTACTATTTATATATAAAGTTCGTTTATTTCAAGACATAAAAATGTTCGCACAGTCTTGAGTTTCGCATCACGAAACGTGGACATGATTTTCGGTGATTGATGAAGTATCGTCGAAGGATGCCCTAATCGGTGATCGGGTCCTACTACGTCTCATTATAAACAGGCAGAGTCAGCTAGACCGCGGCTTTATCTCGGATCTTGGGGACTAGCCTTGTTAGCAAGCTGAACTATGGACTATTACATTTATCTAACCCCATCCACTGAAGTCGGAACACCGTCGTTGGTTTCTCGGTACGGCAGTGATGGATATTTCACGGTTAACATCCTGACACTGTCGCACGTTCAACCGAAACTAAAACTGTCCTCTTCTTGCTCCAAGGAACGTGCTTTGTAACCTTAATTCTCTTCTTCAACCATCTTGTTAGCATCCACCTTCGCTTTTGATTTCTTTTTTATTCTCGTTGTTGATACCGATCGGAACGAAAAAAGAAAGAAGGAAGAAATGAAAAAACGAGAAAATGAAATATAATTAAAATCAATCGAATTAATGATTTATGTTTGTTAAACAATTTCCCAATTTTTGTTGGTAATCTTGCTTATCCTCTGTAAATTCGTAGGAAATTTTTAATTAAGATTTTTAGAATTATTATTGCCTTTTCTGCTTTTTTCTTTTTTTTGCTGCAGTAGTATTATTCATTTAAAATTTGTTATCTATTTTTATTTTCTCCAATAAAGGTGAAAAAGTGAGTAAAACTACTTTACCGACCGAACAAAAAAATTCGGTCGGTGCAAGATAATCTACAAAAATTAAATCATTGGCAATTTCTACGTACAACTTCATAACATTAGTCCTTCATCTTCAAAAGTGATTTCGAAAATCCTTTTCAATTACTCCATCCTCGAAGATCAAAATCACGAAAGATTCTAACCTATTCGAAATTATTCATTTACTCCTGTGCACGCGTTTGAAAGCCAATCCGGTGATCGTCGCGTGTCGTCGATTACCGTTGTTGAAAAAGGAAACCGACGTTATCATTGGTTGGGAAAACGTGGTTCGAAGAAATTATACCGCAAGGGCAGTTTCCAATGTTGTGGCGCGGTATACGTTGTCGGGTCACGGGTAAGATAAAGCTAGAATTATGATGGTCTTCGTTTAAGACAATTAAGGTAGAACCGGTTAACAACACGTGTTACAACCAAAGCCCTTCCCGTATCTCTACTTCGAACTCATAACCTGGCGTCATGTCTTCTAACTAGGCTCGCTTAAGCTACTCTCACAGTCAGCGAAATAACTGTCCATTCGACCGCGTGGCAGCGCACGCGACACGTGGACAATTCTATCACTGTCGGGCTAATTTCAAGCGGCGAAGGTTTTGTCGGTAAGAGACGGGTTGGCGAACAGTAGCGGAACGGACAATAGTTGTCTGGTCGCGATCCAGAGGAGATGAAGAGATAGCGACTATGCCAGTTCGACGATGTCATTTGTTACCGGTATATCAGATCTGTCGCGCATGCGCGCTGCGTACGCGCAGAAGAGACCATCGTCCAAAAATTGCTAAGCCTTGCGGATACTTCTGAAAATCGTCAGCCATGTTTTTGGATAATGAGAGTGCTTTTAGATACTAATGACGAACGAATTGTAAATTTTTTAAAAACTGTTTTTTATTGTCGTAATTTTTGTGGTTTGGGTCAGGGTTAGGTTAGATTTTCAGGTAATGATTAGGAATGAAGAACGAATTTGCAAATATTTCATAAATAATTGATGGTTAATATCTCTGTGACTTTTATGGTTTAGATTAGGTTGAGCGGTTCGTCTCTAAAAAATAAAATAAAATTCTCGTTAATATACGAACTCTTAAAATCTTTATAAATACTTGGAATAAATTTCTTGGGTTTGTATTATTTCCAAATTTCGTTCAACACTATTTATATCTACGATAGAAATGTACTATATTATAGTATACGATTATGTATTTATATTATTTTATAACTTGTATGATTTTATTCGTAGCGAAGTTATAGAAAAATGTCGAGTATTTGTATAAATTCTATTCATGTTTAAATATGTTGAACATAATTTGAGTCGCATGACAGGGGCCATGGTCCATCATTGTACGTTCAGTTATGAACAAAATATGAGATAGATTCGTGGCTGCAATTGTTAATACGGTATCGATGACACGTACGAGAAAAACGACACGTATGTGCAGAGAAAAGTTGTTAGTATCAACCTTTAGTTAGTTGAAAGTAGATTTATATAGAAACTAGAGTTATTTGAAAGTGGCAGCCCTGACAATATATTTCAACACCATCAAAGTGTACCGTAGTGTACCCTAACCTAGAAAATCATTTGGCACGACATTTGGGTATCCCCATGACACGGGGAACCTTTCCCTAACCTCTATTAGTTTAACGTTTCGTGAAACGTTTGTTAAGACTTTGACAGTACACGGAAAGAATTAACCACGTTACAAGATGGTCGACCATATTAAGATTTTTGGCCAGTTTCTCGGTTCTGGTCCAAAGAGGGCAACGTGTAAGATAAAAGTCGGAGCCAGTTTTACCCAGAAGAGAGTCAAAGGCCACGTTTAGATGAAAAACTGGTTTACAATTTTGATCACGTCTCGCTACGGAAGAAAAAGAACGAGAGGGGGGAGAAAAAAAGAAACTCACCGGCTAGATGGAGCTCCTATCGGTATATCTCGAAGCGATAGATGTGGTACGCGGATAAAAGCGAAATAAATCCCATTTTATAGTTCAACAAATCCACGATTCCTCCTTATGCTCCTTCTCCGCTGTTTGTCGAGCATAATTCATTCATGGCACACGCGTAGTAACGCAATCGC